TCAGAACATGGACCGAGGACCGCAAGGACCGGTCCCATTAACCGGTCTAAGACCGGTCTTATCAGGACCGATCCATCCCTAGCCTCGGCAGGGAGTCGATGAGTAGAGAATAACAGAAGTGATGGCTGTTAATGCTGTTTGTACATCGATGACGCAGTGTTCATTCTTATGAACTCCAAATAATCTTGCTAGCCATTGTCGTATTTCAGAGTTTACATTATCTACAATCTCTTTAGCAATTAAATTATATACAATTATAACTGCGTGTCGAAGATTTCTATTTTGAGTTTCCATAAGAACGGATTTCAATAAATTCATATTAACAGCTGGTCTGGATAAATTTGGACAGAATTTGGGTCTCTTAAACAGAGAATGATCCACAACAGACCATTTGAGCATAAGAGACAAATTTCGAGCGCGTTGCAATTCTTCTTCTATATGATGATTTCGCATTTCTTCGAGAACTCTTCTATATGGTAATAGCAATTTAGCAATGTGTGGCTCGAATGTTAGTTTCTCAATAGATGAATCCTCATCCTCAATGTCATCATCGAAAATAGGTAGATTATTTGAGAGGGAGTTTCTTTTCTATGACATTAATAGACAAAAAAAAAAATATTAGCAAAGAGAGAGAGAGGAGAGGAGAGAGAGAGAGGGAGAGAGAGAGAGAGAGAGGAGAGAGAGAGGAGAGAGAGAGAGAGAGAGGAGAGAGGAGAGAGAGAGATGAGAGAGAGAGATGAGAGAGAGAGAGGAGAGAGAGAGATGAGAGAGAGAGAGGAGAGAGAGATAGAGGAGGGAGAGAATTTGCTAAGCCATATGCGAGTTACAGTGATGTAGAGACCAGACACTCTTCTTCCCCAACACCAGCAGTGAGGGGCGTAGCAAATACCGGTGCATGTCTTGGTTAACAGCACGTTGTAGAGACCAGACACTCTTCTTCCCCAACACCAGCAGTGAGGGGCGTAGCACACAGCAATGCATGTCTTGGTTAACAGCACGTTGTAGAGACCAGAAACTCTTCTTCCCCAACACCAGCAGTGAGGGGCGTAGCACACACGGTGCATGTCTTGGTTAACAAGGCGTAACACACAAATTTTGCAAAAAATACTGACCAGGTCACGTTGCATTGCTAATGCTTTCCATCTTGCTTTTGTTCCAGATTTCAAAATTTCTAAATCAGTACTCAAAGCATTATGTGAACTTTGCCTTGTTGCTTCTTGTACATTTTCTTGAAAGTAGCTATCCCACGTTTCTGTATTTCACCATTGAGTATAAGATTTCTCCCAATAATCTAACATATAAATACATGTTAGATTATTTAACGTTGATATAATGAAGAACAATATAGTGAAGAACAATAAATACTTACCACGATATCTAACTTCTTGTAAAACTACTTCGGGTATTCCAGCTGTTGGAATATTTGTCTATTGTGGAGAAAGAGACGCGTTGTAAAGTTGAAAGTGTTTAGATATCTGAATTTGTATATTGTGAAGAAAGAGAGCGTTGTAAGTTGTAAAGTTGAAAGTGTTTAGCTATCTGTTTATAAATCAAAATATATAGTATAAGAATGACTATATCACGTGCTGTTTTATTATATTTGGACTAGGTACACAAATAACCAATCATATTATGAATTGCATTCAT